AGCCCCTGCTCTCCAGAAGCTTAGTTACTAGTTATAGCAGGGAGGGAAGATAGGAATTCAGGAGCAAAGGAGGGGAGGAGAGTTCAGAGGGACCACATTCTGTACCGCCAAAAGGAAGAATGAAGAATTCATCAAAGTTTTTGGTATGTGGGCTGAGTCTTTTTTCCCCATCCCTCATAATTCACGTTATCACAAAATTCATCTCTTTTGGTTTTTTTTTTTTTTTTGAGACAGGATCTCACTATGTAGTTGAGACTGCCCTGGAACTCACTATGTAGCCCAGGCTGGTCTCGAACTCACAGCATCCTCCTGCCTCAGCCTCCTGAGTGCTGGGATTACAGGCGTGAGCCATCACGCCCGGCTTCATCTCTTTTAATATGTACACCTTAATGGCTTTTTTCCCAGTATTTTCACAAAGCTGCACAACCATGAGTGGCAGAATATTTTCACCCTTGGAAAAAGAATCCCCGGTCATCTCTAGGAGTCACCCCGTTCCTGACACCCCACACCTCCTTTCTGTCTTTGAGGAGCTGCCTATTCTACAGGCTACATGGTCTTGCATCCACTTAGTTTTCACAGTTCATTCATGCTGGAGAGCCTGAAGATTCGAGAGGAGCTAGGAAAAAAGGCAAGGAACAGTTTGTTAAATAAATACACTTAAACATTAATTCTGGAGATTCTCTCTGCTCTCAAAGATGAAGTGATTAGCTTCTCCCAGCTATAATCTTATGCTTAAGTATATGTATTTACCTGACTTTCATAAAGGTTCTTCAATAACAGAAAAATCAACAAATGTTTTTGTGTTTATTTTCATTAGGGAACCAACCTGTATGGCTGGACTTCAGACTTCAGGAAAATAAACTTAGTTAAAAAGGGGATGGGGGTGGGAGGGTAAGAGTAAGAGGAAAAAATGAGAACCAAGACCTGTCATGTAAAGGTACAAGATCCCAGTGATGAGTGTAACTGTACTGCACACCTAAAATGTACCAATAAACTCAATGAAGAAAAAACACACACACACACACCGTGATCTACATGGCAAAATTCCACGGACTCCACTGGACACTAAACCAAGGAAGGCCTAAATAACTGGAAAGCGTATCATGTATGGTGATTTTCCAAAACACTTTGCAAGCTGCATATTTAATAAAGGTCCTTGAATTGTATATTTAAAAAGAGAAAGTTTTAAGACATATAAAAAAGATGTCACAGACAAGAAACAAAATGGAAAATTGTCAAGCTAAAAAGTCACAAATATAGAAAAGGATTTCCTGTGAACTGGACAAGCTGATGCTAAAACACAAAAGAAAAAGCAAAAAAAATTAGCAAGAATAGTCAGAACATTTCTTTTTGTTGCTTTTGGCAGCGCTGGGGATCGAACCCAGGGCCTATAATGAACTATCCTCAATCCCTTTTAATTTTTTGAGTTAGGGTCTCTCTATGTAATTTAGGTTGGACTGAACTTACTATGGAGCCTAGGCTGGCCTCAAACTCATGGCAATCCTCCTGCCTCAGCCTGAGTACTGGGATTGCAGCCATGCAACACCACACCCAGCCATTTATTTTTTTATTTTGAAATTTGAAACAGGGTCTTCTCACTAAGTTGCCCAGGCTAGGCTGGTTTTTTTTTTTTTTTTGGTACCAGGGATCAAACTTGGGACCTTGTGCTTTCAAAGCAGGCAGCAGAAACACTGAGCTAAATCCCTGGCCCTGGGCTGGAATTTTTAATCCTCCTGCCTCAGCCTCCGGAAGTGTTAAATTACAGGCATGTGCCCCTGCACCAGGCTAAAACACTTCTTAAACAGGACAGGCCTGAGCTTATCACATACAGAAACAAATCTGCAAGGCATGATGCTTTAAGTGGCCCTTGGCCATGAACATGTATTCTCACGGCCTAATGTGCCTTCTTAATGTGCAGCGGCTACAGTAAGTTACTGTCCGCGTTTCTCACACTCCCCTGCAGCCGCAGACTGATGGCAGATTTGGAATTCCGAGTTGGGTACAGACACGGCAACCTGCCAGAATGTCAGGTAGCTGTGAGTCTCTGTGACCAGGCCGACCCTGGGCTCTGTCCTTGTCCTCTTTAGTCCAGTTTGAGCAAGAATCCTCTTAAAGCAGCTTTAGAAAATTCTCATCCTTGGCATCTGATCGAATTTTTCCATTCATCTTTCCCCACATTACCGTATCACAAAGGACTGTACTCAGCAAGAAACCCGTTGAAACCATACTGCAACCGCCCCTGGCCTTCAAGATTCCCTCTTAAATCATTTTCCTGCGAACCAAACACATGACCTTTTCCTTGGCTACAGATAATCTCCACCCGCCCTGGCTGGGCTGAGAGGTGCCCAATCCTCCCAGCGCAAATCCCACCCAGGGGTCCTTCCAGAATAACTCCACCATCTTTACCCAAGCGACTGACTCATCTTCTCTAACACAGTGCAACCCAGAAAGCAAATGTCGAGAATTCGCCCTGTTCATGAGCACTTTCTACAAAGCTCAAGCTTGGGAAAATTATGCAATAGATTAGATGTGCAAAGTCTGTGGTAAATGTATAAAGAAAAGGCAAGACAACTCAGAGAGTAGCTCTCTGAGCAGAGGAAGCAATGTAACCAGAAAGAGGTAGAGAGCTCTGACATTAAGGTAAAATTCAATTTCTTAAACCAACTGGCAGGCACACAAGTGCTTGCAGTACCAACTATCTGATGTATTTTATAAATATTGTTTTGTACCTACTCAATATTCAGTTAGAGATAATTCTAATAAAGGATGAGGAATTACAAATGATTTTTAATGAAAAAGTAAGGCTGGTTTCATTGTACATGCAGTTTTCCTGAAAGGCTTACCATTTCAATCATAAAGTTCCGGAAGAGAGGTGATACCCGCCCTTCGTCCCAGCACTCTGGGGGGCTGAAGCAGGGGGATCAAAACTTCCAGCACAGGCTAGGCAACTCAGCTAGACTCTCCCTCAAAATAAAAGTACTCAGTAACAGCACCCTGGGTTCACTGCTCATAAACACCAAACAAACAAACAAACAAACAACAACAACAAAACCACAGTGTTCAAGGTAATTACAAACTGTTCATTCAATCTTTAAAAATATGAGCAAAGCCTCAAAATGCACTGAAATTCACTTCCAGGACATTACAAATTATTTTCATGTCCTAAGGAGCAGCAAACAGCCCATGGAGGCAGCCAAATTAAGCCTGTGCCTTCAGCGAGTCACCCCAGCTTAAGCTCTGCAGCCTTCTCACTGGACCAGGACAGAGCCATGCATGGGTCAACTTAACACTTCTTCTTCTAACCTTGACTACCTTAAGGAAAGGAATCCTCGACCTGGAAATCATGAAAGAGAATTTATCTTCAGATGTCAATCAAAGACTGTGTGTGTAGTTGTATAGCCTTTACACTCAGGGCAAGAGAGGCAGAGAGCTATTAACTTAATATTAATGAGACTCATCATCCTTTCTGGAAGAATCCTACGGGTAATCACGTTACTTGGAATAGAAAGAACAAGAAAGGTTCTGCAGAATCCTGTCTGGGGATCACACGTCCCGCCTGTACCCCTGCTGCGAAGCTCAATCCTGGGACCGTGACACCCCCATCTCCCTGACAAATGCCACTTTTTCAGCTGATAGCCTCAACTGTACACTGCAGTCTAGACCTCCCCAGGGCTCCTGACTAAGAAGTCTCACCTCTACCCTGAAGGGCACTCCTGTTTCCATGGTAACAGCTCTATGCCACACTGAGTACCTAGGTGGATACTATGACTTACTCTTTCAGAAGGTGGAAACTAAGCCGGGTGTGGTGGCTCAGACCTGTAATTCCAGCACTCAGGAGGCTGAGGCAGGAGGATCACTGTGAGTTCAAAATCATCCTGGGCTATGTAGTGAGTTCCAGGTCAGTCTCAACTCCATAGTGAGACCCTGTCTTTTAAATAGGAGGTGGGGGATTAAGGCACAGAAAAGTACTTTGGGGTAGCACATTTAAACCTGGCTGGGTCAGGATTCAAACTGCCTTCTGGCTTGAGGTACTTGCCTAATAAGGGTGTATAGCTAAATTATCAGGTGAGATACAGTCTAGCTGTAATCCCAGCACTCTGGGAGGCTGAGGCAGGAGGGTTGCTAGTTCAAACCTAGTCTGGACTACTTAGTGACATAATGAGATCGTGTCTCAAAAACAAAAAAATTTAAAAGGCTGACACTGAAGCTCAGTGTGGAGGAAGGTTTGGGTACAAAAAAGCCCTTATATGAACCAAAAAAAGGGCGTTTCCTCCCCCATGTTCCCATCTCCTGATCCGAGCCTTCCTCCCCTCAGTGACGAGGCAGGTACAAGGTCTTTCAGCCCCCTTCCCTCACTGCGCTCACCAGTAGGCCCTGTCCACACATGGCCTCTTCCTCATCCTCAGTGCAGCACTATCTGCTGCACCTACAGGGGCGCAGGTCCTTTACTTAGAAGCACCGCCCAGCCCAGCCTTTCGGTGTCTTCCAGTGTTCCCGGTGCCTCTCAAACTCCATCTCTGCCCCCAGCCGCTCTCTCCCCCTTACTTGCCCTCAAGCCACACTTTTTAAACACACAAGGACCCTCCCAAGCCAGTGAGAAAGAACTGTGCCCTCCTGCCCGGGCCACTGGGGAGCCACTGCCACTGCCGGTACTGTGGGAAGAGGCCCGTGTTCACCAGGGCACTCGCAGCCCTTTCGAGCGGGGAGCAGAAGGGTAGTGACTCCCAAAAGGCAGTCACCCAGCCAGCACCCTCCTCACCTGAGGGGCCAAGCGCCTGAGGTAAAGTCTATGACAAAGCAGTCACTTAAAAAGCAGTACGTTGTTTGGACTCTCAGAACAGAGGAAGAACATGAGCAGCATATAAATATTCCTTGATTAGATTTGTAACAATGGAAAGAAGAGACCATAAATCAATATTTGTACTCTAACAGGAAGGACAGCAGCCACATTTCCTGTCCTTGAAAATCCCTGAATATCTACAGCTGTCATCCATACTTACTGGCATCGTCCATGAACTCCAAGTCCCCTCCGAGTTCGGAAGCGGAGAAGTGGTACTGATCCGGATCAGCCAGGGCACTCAGCAAAATCAGCAGCACCACAGCATTGGTGATCTGCAGAGAGGAGACACACGTGAGGCGCCCAGCGAGGGGCTTGGGACATTAACAGTGACACCGGGCCTCCAGCTGAGGAAGGCTAAGGCAGGCAGAGGGCAAAGGGAGGGCAGGCGTCCCACCCGGGCTTCCCAGTTCCTCTGGGAGATCTGACAGGATCTGAGGCGAGCGAACGCAAAGCTCCCAGTGCAGGCTTGGATTTCGCTCCTGCAGCAGCACTGTGGCAAGGCCGGCTGGGGGCCACATCTATCCTCTAACTCTGCTGAGGACACCGTCCTCAGCTACTAGGAACTTAGCCCAGTCAAGCGGAAATCATCTTCTCCCATCTCCCATCTCCCATCTCAGCTCTTGCTTTTTTGTTCTCACACCTATAACCCCAGCACTCCGGAGGCTGAGGCAGGAGATCGTTAATATACATCAGTGTCTCCGTTACTAATGAAAAAGGGACAGCACACAGTACTATGCTAAGCTCTTCTCTCTCCTATACCCTGCAATGATAATCTAAAGAAGGCGCTGAATGTCCCCTAGTTACTGATGAGAAAACTGAGGCTTGGTGTGAGGAACATCGGCCAAGACCACACAGCTAACAAACCGCAGACAAGGCTCAAATCCGGGAGTCCAGACCCCCAGCCCTGGCCTCTGTCAGCTGCTCCATCCCTACAGCCTACCTCTCCCTCCTCAGTGCCCTCACTGTGCACTCCTGATGGCCTGGGGCCTGAGCATGTGCAGCCTAAGGCTGCATCCTTCTCTGTGTTCAGTTCAGAAACACGTTTTTTTTTTTCCTCTTCTCAAAATGGAAAAAAGAGCCCAGCGTGGTGGCACACGCCTATAATCCCAGCATTTGGGAGGCTGAGGCAAGAGGATCGCTGTGAGTTCAAGACCAGCCTGGGCTACATAGTGAGTTCCAGGTCAGTCAACTACATAATGAGACCCTGTCTCAAAAAAACAAACAAAAACAAAAACAAAAAACATCAAAATGGAAAAAAATAGATACATGTAAAGAAAACAATTTTGGCTACCAACACAAGCTAAAGCATATCTCACTGCTACAAACTGTCCTGGCAGCACCTACCTTCCTGCAGGGGTCAGGTCATGGGACACCCACTCCAGAATGGATTTCAAACTGGCAACCTCAAGCGGTGCCCTAGTGTTGTTTGAGGGCTTGAAGCTGATCTTTCTGCCTATCTTCCACACTGTCTACTACAGTCTGTTTTTTCACAGTACAGTAATGTGAACAGCCCATCCATTCCCCACAGCACCCGGGACTACTTTAACAGACTGCAAGTAAGCTTGCCATCCAAGCTTTTTAGACGCACAGAGGTGTACAGTAGGAAGCCGGTCCCCTTCCCACAGTGGTTCTTAGCATTGTTTCTCTCCAAAGATCCAAAACACTTAGCAGCGCACTTTAAAGAGCATGCCTACATGGGCCGGGGATTTGGCTCAGTGGTTCTACCGCCTGCTGGGCCTGAGTTCAATCCTAAGTGTGCCTAGCAAAGTCCATCTGAAGATACTTGAAGGCTTACAGCAGAGCCCAGGCTGGGCCGTGGGGCCACCGAGGGCACTACAGCGCTCAGCAGTTGTTACTCTGGGCATTTCATCTCTCTACACTCTTACGTGTGATAAAGGCCCATGTCAAGCCTGGACAACTCAGCAGGTCCCAGCCGCAAACTAAAAGATAAAAATGAGCTGGGGAGGCTGGGGATTTAGCTCAGTGGTTCCAGTGCCTGCCTTGCAAGTAAGTACAAGGGCCCGAGTTCAATCCCTGGTACAAAAAATCAAGCTGGGGATACATTAAATATAATTCAACCTCAGCGGTCTGTGCTGAAGCAGGGAAACCAGCACAGCTCAGACATGGTGCATACAGAGGGTAACCCAGGAAGACTGGAGTCTGCCCAAAGCGGAGGGATTCTGGACAAGCCACTGCAGCTACTGAACACTGTCAGATGGAAAAGGTCAGAGGGAAGTTCAAGCCTCAGGTAGACGTGTGGCCCACGCCTGTAGTCCCAGCACTTGAGAGGCTGAGGCAGAAAGACCGGAGTTCAAGGCCAGTCTGAACTAAAGCAAGAGCTTATCTAAGAAAAAAACCTGAAGCTTCAAGGAGATTAAGTGTCCAAGGAAAAATGGAATCACCCAGTCATCAGTCTCCACAGAGAGAATCGAGGGGGTCTGCAGGGAGCTGAGCCAAGGGATCCCGGTGCTCGCTCACTCCTCCCTCCTCCGCTCCGCCACATATCCCCAGTGTCCCTGGAGGGTCGCCTATTTCCCATGCTCCCCTGGTTCTACACCACTCATTCCACACATAAACAAACTCAACCTTTGTCAATTACTGCAACGGTGTTAGGCCTTGCACATTCCCCAGGGACCCTTAAACAATGAGCGGGTCTCAAGTGGAGGGAGACCCAGCCTTGCAACCTCAATCTGAGCAGAACTGCCCCACAAGAACACTCACACCCCAGGGATGGTAATTAAACAATTACCAGAAATTAACGCAGAAAGTCAAACCAAAAATGATCCCTGCAGACTTTTCTATGCTGAAACTTGAAATTAGGACAATGCTTAAATATAATTAAAGCCAGGTATCAGAAACTTATGCAAGCATAAAAATAATACTTAAAATTAATGACAAGTGTTCACAGTACAACATAAACTGCAGTATAAAATGTCAGAGTTCAGGTTTTCTTTTTGTTGTTGTTTGTTTGGTTTTGCTTTTTGAGAACAGGTTCTCACTATGTAGTTGAGACTCACCTGGAACTCACTATGTAGCCCAGGCTGGTCTCGAAATTGCAGCGATCCTCCTGCCTCAGCCTCCAATGTTGGGATTAAAGGCATGAGCCATCATGCCCAGGCTCAGGTTTTCTTATTGGGGGCAGATTCAGACAGGGTCTCACACTGCAGCCCATACTGGCCTCAAACTCACAGGGCAATCCTCCTTCCTCAGCCTCCTGGCTTCCAATTTTATTATCTGTAATATGCTTGTGCATATAACATTATGCTCCACTCTCTCTGGAAGCTGGCATGCAAGCCCCTAGAAGCAGCCTATTTCCCAATGATGCAGAAATCCAAGCAAACTGGTGTTCTATTCAGCAAAGCAAGGGAAATCAGTACGTGGCTGAAAGACTTCACAGGAAGGTGACATTATCAACACTAGAAAGTAACAAATTTTTAGAAATGCTGAGAGACAAAAATTGCAGCACAAACAATTTTAGGGTATCAGACTGAACTGACTGCTAAGAAAAACTCCCACAAACACAAACAGGAAACACTCTGCTCCTGGAGGCCATGAAGATGAACAATGGCAGCCCGTGTCTAAAGCTAACACAGCTAAAAATGAATGTTGAGGTTAAGCAATTCCAGGGCCCTTGGACAGCAGGTAAGCATGTCCCCTGGGTTCAACTGCCCAGCCCTAGGCATTGCCTGAGGGTGATGACGAAACTGCCCAGCCACCCCTCCCAGCAGTGCACTTGTCATCAGCTCCACAGAGTGCTGGCCTTTTGGTCACAGATGGGATCTACACTCCTGCAGTCAGCCCCCCGCCACCCCAGGGCCCTGTTCATCCACCTCTAGCAGCAGGTTGTGAATTTCTTTCTGCCAGCCCCACCCGTGGCAGAAGCAACCTGGTACTGAGAGGACCTGGTCTGGTCCTCACACACTCTCAGGTTGACAGAATGGACAGAAGCAGAAGACAGAGGCTGCAGAGCAAGGGTGAGGCTGTCCGAGTCAGAGCCTAAGACCTCAATGGTCCCTGACACTGAAGCTCAAGGGCAAGGGTACACCAGCTGGGGCGGGATTTAGCTCAGCGATTCCGGCGCTGGCCTTGCAAGTGCAAGGACCCGAGTTCGAGCCACTACCAAAAAAGAAAAAAAGACAGTACACCAGCTGAAGACACCCTGGTTCTCAGGAGTAGAAGAGAAAGGTTTCTTTCCCCTGAGGGAAAGACAACTTCCTTATTAGACTGCTATCTTGTCCCACCTGCAAATTTAAGAATGTTCTTAAAATGGGTGTGGTGGTGCACACTTATAATCCCAGGACTCTGGAGGCTGAGGCAGGAGGATGCTGTGAGTTCAAAACCAGCCTAGGCTACATTGTGAGTTCCAGGTTAGTCTCAACTATATAGTGAGACCCTGTCTCAAAAAAAAAAAAAAAAAAAAAAAAGCATGTTCTCCTTACCAGGATTTGGCTCAATGGTTCCGCCACCTGCCTCAAAAGTATAAGGACCTGAGTTTGATCCCTGATACCAAAAAAAAACATGTTCTCCTTACACCTACCTCCTTCAATGTAAGATCCTCATCAACAATAGACTGCCTCCTCCTAAGTGCTGATGCTCCCTCCAATTATTATGCACCCAAGGAATAGCCAGCTCAGAATGTCTTTACCCAACCTGAGGCACTGATCTCCCCGCAGCCCATGTACTAAGAAGTACCCAAGTCTCTATTGTCTTTCTTTAGCCAGACAGTCCCCGCTTCCAGGCAGTCAGAGGACTGATCGCCCTCCAATAGAGGGCAAGAGAAAGTGTTCCCTTATTTGTTTTGAGACAGAGCCTCACCATACGTAGGTCAGACTGGTCTTGAACACGCTATGTAGCCAAGGACAGTGATCCTCCTGCCTCAACTGTGATTACAGGCATGCGCCACCACACCAGCCCTACAAGAACATTTTGAATCCCTGATTATGAAAACACAGAGCCTAAGTGGACAAGACAGACCCAAACTCTGTGCATAGCAAGTACCACACAATAACGGTCTGGAAAGCTGGGATGTAAAAAAAGAGAAAATTTATAAAGTACAAAATGGCAAAATTTTCTTGGTGAGGGTGATATTGAGGGTTCTAGGGCCTTCACACAGCTATGTTCCCCAGCCCCTTTTTATTTTGAAACATCTTATAGGACATTGACCAGAATGGGCTCAGTTAGTGATCCATCCTCCTGCCTCAGCCTCCCAGAGTGCTGGACTGCACCACCTATCCAGCTCAAAAATAATTTCTTAGTGCTGCAAAGTGCTCTG